CCCCAAAACCCCAAAACCCCATAATAGCAATAAATTATAATATTGGAAAGATATAAAAAATAATGAAAAAATAAAGAATAAATCTAACTATACTGAGTTCGAAATGATTATTAACAATGCATAAAATCATTTATGAATTTTAAGAGAGGATTCACTGACTCATTAAGGTTAATAATTTACAAAGCTATAGAAGTTCATTAGAATCCAAAGTAAGTTGCATTAGAATTAAAATGCTACATATTTATTTTGTTTTCTTAGATTTTATCATTGAAAATTGAACTTTTTCTGCTATTTGAAAGATATCTTCTCTCCAACTTTTAATGAATCCCATAAGATATATCAGGTGAAATCATTTTCGAGGATTGTGAATTGGGATAATTTGATTGTATAGACATTTTTTTACTGAGAATTGAATGATGGTCCTGATTTAAAGGTAGTTTAGATGTTTATTAATGAGGTGTGCCAGTTTTTATTTTTGGTAATTATGAAGCACTCTGGGTTTTATAAGCTTCATTAATGATTGGATTTGAAGTATAATCGTTATACTTATCACTTAATGAAGATCTTGTAAGCAAATTCCTCGATGGCTAATAGTTTTTGAAGCACTTCTTGTAGAAGCCTAATAAAGTTCTTCTTTATAGTTCTATTTCATTCTTCACTATGTCTTATTGTTATCTAATTCTAATATCTTCATCGTCAATCAACTCATCTTAAGACGCAGTCTCATAATAACAAGCTCGCTTATTAGAACTCAATTTTCTAGATGACAGTATGTTTCCAATATTTGCTTTATTTTATACAGAATGTATTGATGTATAGTTATTTTAAGCTTTTTTCTTCTCAATTTTCTACTGAATAGCATTTAAATCAAGTTTGTAAGTAAAACTTAGAGCATTTATCAATCTGCTATTTCTACTAGGAGTTAATTTTTATGTAATCTCTGACATTTTTTGCCTTTTTAGCTTCATTGACTCCTTCAGGTAGCATTGCATGGGAGGACTCATCATTACATATGGCTTGTTTTAAAAGTCTTTTATACCTTGATTGGTATCAAGCACGTATTTAGGATTTTTTTAGTTCTTAATTTTGTTTTATTTTGACAATTATTTTATGGATTCTTTTTCATTTTCTGAGAGAGTGTCTTTGTCTGAATTTCTTTCTTTACTTTTGATATTATTTGATCAGAATTTCTTTTTGTTCCTAAATCCATCAGTGTGAGTTTTCAAAGCGGAATTAGATGGCTAGCGAGTCACATTCTTTGATGATTATGAGGGTGATAGAGTATGACTTATATCATCATTTTGATATGTAGGTAATCTTGCCATATTCATGTTTAACTTTATTCGGTATTTTTAGTTCATTTTCATTGGGAATTAAATTTTTAATTGTAGAAGTTATTAATTAAAATATTAAACCAGATTTAAGCTGTTATGATATTTTCAAGTCATTTCTAATCTATCATTTGTAATCTACATCGCCAAAGTAAGGTATATCACCAAACTTGTACTTCACTGGAGGAAACTTAAAGCATAAGCTCTCTATCCAACTCTACTTCAAGTCTTTAGAATCAGCTTTAGGGATAAGAGAGACCCCAAGTTCCCAATTTGCTATAGTAAATTATTCTTTGTTTCTTTCAAACTTCCCCCAGGCATTAGATGACATATTATGAGAGCCAATATAGATAAATGTATTATCATTTATTGTTCCTTTATCATCGTCAGTAATAATGAGGACCTTACTGTGAGCGATATCTTCATTGAATAATTCAGTTCTACCTTCATACCTGTAGAAGCTTCCAGTAGGAAATCCCTTTTACCTCCAAGATGTTGTTTTGAGGTGAAGACAATCACAATTGTTGATGCCTAAATTGGATTTTCTTGCATGCGATTCAGTGGGATAAATAAAGCCAAATCTGTCATGAATTCTTTCCTCACTTATCAGAATTCCGGTGAGAGTATAGTAAAAATCTTACAGATACTTAGGCCACATCCTCCCAATACTAGAAGCTTGAATCCAAATTTTTGATTTTTCAGGAAGCGGATGATGTTACTTTATGAGAGAATTTATCCTCATTAATCCATATTCTGATATTTTATCTCCTTTCAATCTTCCATTAATAGACTCTACCAGGTGAACCTAGGCTTTGCTAAAGTCATAATCATCTAAGTTTATTTTCTATCTGAAAACATCAGGATTTTTCCTAACATTCCATGGAACTAGATGCTCTAGATATTTTCCTAAAGAATGCTTAAAGTCATTCTCACTTTTTCGCTCCTCTAATTTACTTTTACTTGAAGGCAATTTAAGCAGCGGGAAGTCTTAGGCCCAAATGCATTACTGAATATAATACCACATGTAATTGGTAAGATTAGCACTGCTTAGGATTACTCTCAATCTATCTTCAAACTGATATATAATAACTTTTGAGTGGTAAGAAGCATAAGGTACCGTGTCATATTTGTTGACATTAATCTTATTACAATTGATTTCATCATCAGCAAAGAAAATAAGTGGATCAGTTCTTTTAATCTAGTCTTCAAATATAGTTGTTGGAATCTTTCTACTAAACAAGGGAAGCATTAGATCTTCCTCATACTCAAATGAAGCAAAGATAGCTGACTTTACATCCACATCATATCCTGGATCTTTTTCATCAAGTAAATCTTTACTCATGAGTTGCTTGAAACTCAAAGCATTGTCAATTTTTGCCTTAGAATAGTAAAATTTAATCCTATTAGTGTAGAGCTTAGTACCATCAAATTTTATGCAAATCTCTTTTTATTCTTCTTTTAACTCATCAACTTCTCGTTGAGAATTTTTAGCTTCTTCTTTATCCTGTCTTTAGACTGGGTTATGATCAGATATAAATTTTACATCGAGGTCAGGCTCATCATAACTCGATTCACTACTTCTTTTTTAAGGCTTTGATATATTTTATTATTGTATTTGTTATAATTGCTCTTTGCTCTTTATGAAAGTCTCATTATTAGGTCTTCTCTTTTTAGGGGTGACAACTGATTTGCACACTAGACCAGCATGATCTTATTCGCCATCCTAAATCTCTGATAATGCTCGTTTTTTATTATTCATTTAATTTTGGAATTTTAAATACTTCTAAGAATCAAAATAGGCTCTTAATTTGAATAATAATAAATTTAATATCTCAAAGGGGAACATATGCTATAAAACTAATTGTCAGGCACTACTACGAATTTAAGACTTTTGCTAGAATAGTAAAAAAGACTTCCAGATATGAGGCTACTTAATAAAAACAACGGAGAAAAAGCCCTTTAAAAATAAATTATACGTTCTAACACTATGTTAGAAAATAAAAATGATCAAATAGATGAAGATTATGATAGAGAATCTTTAGTTTCCGACTATTTCAAAGAGAACAATGAATTCAATTCTTTATAGATTTATAAACAAAAGAGCAATTGAAAAGTATTCTACAATAACAAGGAAAAGCTTAAACAAGAAAGGAAAAGCGTTAGGTTTTTAAGTCCATAAAATTAATCAATGCATTTGGAAGAGTAAGATCAAACCTTTTCCGGCTTTTTAACCATGCAAGACTAATTCCAGGTAAAGGCAACAAATCTACCTTTAGAATTTTCCATTTCTAAGGTAAAGCAGTATTTTAAGTAATTTGGATAGATTACTGACTTCTAACTAAATGAGCATGAACGTGAGGCCATAATAAATTTCAATAATCATGACTCTTAACAAAATGCTATTTAAGAGGCAAATATGGCGAGATTAGGTAACAAAATAATTTAGGTCAAGGCGGTACAGAAATAAATAAATTAGGTATAGTAAATTAACAAGTAAAACATTTGGAGTGACTTTAATTAATAATTAAATGAGAAAAGAAAAATAGTTCTAAATTTATGATCTAGTTTTTAATGATGATTAATATTAATTAAATTTAAAATACTCATTAATGAAAACCACATCTTTAATAACAAATACTACTGCTATCATATTTTTACTCTTGATATCAGTTTCTATCGAATTGATTTCAGCTTAAGATCTTAGTATACCTATTGATTTAGAGATCAAGCCTAGAGAAAACCTCAAGAAGATTATGCAAAATCACTTGATTTTCTTTGAGACTTTAAGTTGCATTGAGTGCCAAAGATCCACTAAAGAAATCATTAAACTCGCTACTATTACTAAAGGTAACCCAAGGATTGCAAGAGTGAGTTGGTAAGTATTATGATTTGATTGATAGAATTCTTAGCAACAAATATTAAGATTTCTGCAGAACAATGAATATTACGGAATTTCCAACCGCAATGCTGATCAACCAGAAAAATGAAGTCTTTATTTACAAAGGACCTTTGAAAGCTCAAAAGATAGTTGATAATTTTTTAACAAATGAAGAAGGTCTCAAGAAATCTAAAATTGCTGATGATATGTAAAAATACATTAGTGAAAACAACGCTAGATTATTTAATTTGTCATCTCAACGAACAGTTATTGAGGAACTATAAGCAGTAGTTAGCTTTTATTTTGATAGACCTATTCTGTTCATATTTTATTAGCTCGGTAGAGATTATTGGTCTAAATTTGCAAAAATGTCTGTGTTCTTCATGTTTGCTCTTGGACCTTTTATTAGCTTATTTATATATGCAGGAATCACATCAGTTTAATCAAGATCTTAATAAAAGCAGAAAAAAGAATGAATCTTTTAAATTTTCACTCTCTCTTTATTTCATTATATCCTGATTGAAGGGGTTTTGGGGTTTTGGGGGGATCGGAAGAG